ATGATAGTGTATAACATGTCGCCTCAATAGCGTATCGTCTGTGAATATGATAGTGTAATAGTGTATCATCTCAATAGTGTATCGTCTGTGAATACGATAGTGTAATAACGTACTGTCAGTGTAATAGCGTATCGTCTGTGAATATGATAGTGTAATAGCGTATCGTCTGTGAATATGAGTGTAATTGTGTGTCGTCTCAATAGTGTATCGTCTGTGAATATGATAGTGTAATAGCGTATCGTCTGTGAATACGATAGTGTAATAGCGTATCGTCTGTGAATATGAGTGTAATTGTGTGTCGTCTCAATAGTGTATCATCTGTGAATATGATAGTGTAATAGCGTATCGTCTGTGAATACGATAGTGTAATAGCATATCGTCTGTGAATACGATAGTGTAATAGCGTATCGTCTGTGAGTACGATAGTGTAATAGCATATTGTCTGTGAATACGATAGTGTAATAGCGTATCGTCTGTGAGTACGATAGTGTAATAGCGTATCGTCTGTGAATATGAGTGTAATTGTGTGTCGTCTCAATAGTGTATCATCTGTGAATATGATAGTGTAATTGTATATCGTCTCAATAGTGTATCGTCTGTGAATACGATAGTGTAATTGTGTGTCGTCTCAATAACCTATCATCTCTCCCTTCTTTCTACAAGGGTGGTGTCTCTTTCTGATCGTTTTCTCACCATCAGTGTTGTTGTTTTTCATAGTTTTCTTCTCAAAAATTACAAATATTTCCTTGTAATTAATTACGAGGGTTTGAGGACAGTTTTGTCCTTTGATATGGGGAGTTCCTCGATCCAATAGCTTGTGGTCAGGTAGTGAGCATATTTATGTTAGGTTCTTCAAAGCTGATTATCTTACAAGTTCTGTCATAAAGATGCATGGGGGTTTAGCCTGTATAATCCAGTAGTTCTGTGCATGAGAAAGCTGGTTTCGTGTGTGCGTGTTTCATGCTTTTCATTAATTACCTGGCTGTTCACTTGCCCTGGTGTGCTGACTATTTTTATGTTAGCTTGACCCAAACTAGAGTCATATGAGAGAAGGGAACCCCAATTGAGAAAATGCCTCCGTAGGATCAGGTTGTAAGCAAGCCTATAGGACATGTTTTAAATTGGTGACTGATGGGAGGGCCCAGGCCATGGTGAGCAGTGCCATCCCTGGACTGGTAGTCCTGGGTTGTATAAGAAAGCAGGCTGGGCAAGCCATGGGGAACAAGCCAGCAAGCAGCATTCCTCCATGGCCCCTGCATCAGCGCCTGCCTCTGGGTTCCTGTCCTGTTTGAGTTCCTGTCCTGATTCCTTCAGTGATGAACAGTGCTGTGGGAGTGTGAGTCAAAAAAAAACCATTTTCTCCCCAGCTTGCTTTTTAGCCAGTGTTTCATCGCAGCAACAGAGACCTGTTCCTAGGACAGTTGATTTACTGAGTAGACAGCTGGCCAGTAGTGAAGATGACAGACAGAACACGCAGAAACACAACACGTGATCTCCTGTCATGCAACAACGGATTCTCCACTCAAGGGGGCAAAGGGAGGCAGCAGTGGGAATGTTTCACACAAGACATCAGCTGGCATAATACACAACTAAACATGATGTTGACACCGGCAGAGCCTAGCAGTGCTCTTCCCATTCCAGCCCTGGGTACTTTCATCTGCAGAGTAGAAACTGAAACTTATCAAATGCCCTTTTATTTCACTCAGGATAATTGCTTTAAAATAAGTTGTTATATTTCTGTTTGTGTGTAGATGTAAGGAAATGTGTGTCTGTATGTGCACCATGTGTATACAACTGTCTGCAGAGGCCAGACAAGGGTGTTGGCTTACCTAGAACTGGAATTACAGGGGTTTTCAGTCACCCAGTATGGGTGCTGGGAAACAAATCCAGGTCCTCTGCAAGAGCAGGTGATGCTCCTAACTGCAGAGGCATCATTCCAACCTGCTAATCACTTCTGAAAAATGTGCTTCTGTTAGATTTTAGTATAATCAATTTCTAATTATAAACAGTACTTCAATTTCTATAATATGTCCAACTTTGTAGGTGGAAAACGAAAAGGGTCATACTGATGCACCAAAACCAAATCTTAGCCTATTGCATTTGCTCTCACAAGAGAGGTGAGTTTGTAAAGATTTTGAACTGTCTCTGTGTTATATCAGTTAACTCATGGTACTTGGCGAGCTTGGCGCTGGTTTGTGCTCTGGTGTAGAAACTCAAACAGGTTGACAAATGGAGTTGCCACCCAAAGAAGAACCACTGTGGCTTTGATCATTTTCTCAGGCAGTGAGAGAAAGGGATAATATGGCATGGCCATCATCGTCACAACATTGAGTCTGGTGGTGAAATAACACAGACGAAGGTGTCACTCAACCTTAATGAAATCCCTAGGAAAATATCTATTCTACTGCTAATGACAGTCAGTGAGTTCTGCGTTCACTCATTGGCTCCTCTGGTTCCTCCCAAGGGCTCCCACTCGGCATGATCATTAACTCAGTGAGGTTCATAGTGGTCTCCTGAGGTAGGTGTGGAGTTCTTCCTCTTGGAGAGAAAAGAGTGACTGGATTTTCCTCTCCACATTCTATGTTCTAGAACTAGATGACGACTTTACAAAGGCCCCCTGTATATCCACGGATGAAGCTTCCTGTAGGCATGAACACCACGCTAGGAGCCATGTTGAGTGTTGGATATGTTAGTCAACTAGGCTGGTGTGGGTAGACACCAGCCCTCGCTGCTGGAGGGTGTCTTCCTCAGAAGAAGGTGTCCATGGTGCAGAGATGTTACTGCTGGAGTCGTCTTGCCAGGGCTCCTCTTTGTGACACTCCTTCTTCCCGGGGTATTTCCTAAGGCACTGCGGAGAACACTGGTCGGGCTGGAGGAACCCTGGCTTTTCCCACCTTCTCTAGTGCCTCAGTAGCTGGGAGATGTTTCAAAGGGACAAGACGAAGTGGAAGTGATCTTTTGTGGCTACTCATCCTCCGCTGATCCTATTTTTCTACCAGATTAACTTCCCCGCTGGTTTTTCTTTCTCAAGAGTAGGCTGTGTCTGCAGGTGGATGCCTCTTGCGAGAGGAGAGGGATATGTAACACATAAATCTAATTTTTTTATCCTGTAACTGGTTCTGCTCAGTCTTTCTTTCACAATATGAGTATTTCCTTGTCTCCCAGAGCCGTGTGGTAGCTCTAGCTCTTCGACTAAACTAGCACTAGCTCCTCTTGGCTGAGTTCATGTGTGAGCGCACGTGCGTGCACACAGGCCAAAGGTCAACATCAGGTGTCTTCCTTAGACATTCTGCCCCTTTTTTTCTGAGCTGGGGCTGTTAGTCTGCATCCCCCTAATTCAGCTAGACTGCCTGGCCAGTGAGCCCAAGGGATTCACTTGTCGCCAGCTGCCGTGCCACTCCCACCTGCGCACTGAGTTGCTGGCATGTTCCACCTTGCCTGGTGGTTTTAAGTGGGTGCTGGTTATCCAAACTCAGTCCTGCTGCTTGCACAGCAGGCATTTTACCTGCTGAAGCATCTCCCTAGTCCCTGTGTTCTTAAGACACCACCAACAAAAAGAAACAAGCCAACCAACCTTTCATCTGCCCCTGTGTTCCTCAGTGTTGCGATAGGAAGTGTACAGTCAAGGAAATACCTGGAGGTATTAACTGAGCCACTTAAACTTTCCTCTTTTTACATCCCTTTAAAGGCTTAGCTGTCACTCCATTGAATTTAACCGCATTTCCCCTGCGAAGGGGGCCTTTAAGACTGGAAGGAGTATGCCAGAGTTGTGCCGTGTACTCAGGGTGGAGACTAATTACAAGGTTGCAGAACTCTTCAGGTGGCTGGGCTGGTGGCCCAACTGAAATGCTGCTTTCCTAAATTGGGAACAGCTGGGCCATAGTGCGAGCTCGTATAAGAGTCGCTGGCTCTGCTCAGTGTGGTAAGAAGTCTCTGCTCCTCGGAGGAGCCTGGGGCGCTCCAGCCAAAGGTGCCTTTCCTCAGCCACACAAAGGTGAGTGTCTCAAGTGGCCCGCTGAATGCCAGATGCTGTTGCTCAGTGGAAACTGGTGGTTGTATCGAGGTGTTGTGATCAGTTTCCTGTGGCGGTTTTAGGAAGTTCCCCTGTGGCTGCTCCTCTACCCCTCTCCCAAATGAGACCCAGCGAAGGCTCTGTATATCTTCCTCCTTTGTTAGTTTGAAGGCTGTTGAGTTTGTGGTGTGTGTGTATGTGTGTGTGTGTGTGTGTGTGTGTGTGTGTGTGTGTGTGGGTCTAGATACGAAAGGGGAAACCAAGGCAGTGTCATTTAAAATAGGTTGAATGTGTTGCTTTGTGGTTTGTTCATGAAAGCAGTTACCAAAGGGATCCGTAGGTTTTTAAATAGGAAAGTTAGAAACTGGACTGTTCTGGAAAATGAGGGTGGCAACCATCCAGCAATTCAGCAGAGCTTCCAAATCCTTTAAAATTTTATTTTATAGTTTTGAGGGAGGATTTCTTTCACACTTTAACTAACCTGGAACTCACTATGTCACCCAGGGTGACTTCAAAGTCACCGTAGTCCTCCTGCTTTAACCTCTTAAAAGGTGTCATTAGAAGTGTGAGCCACCATGCCCCACTGTTGGATCCCTTTTCTTAGAAAAGATCCATCATCTGTTCTTTGCAGATCAGGAAGGAGTGGTGTGGTCTCCAGGCAGATTCTAGCGTATTATGACTTCATGGTTAGCAACTTGTGAAGTGCTTGAAATGTTGGGCCCTGGCTTTATCGGAAGAAATGAACAGGAAATTGATTGTTAAGATATGCTGACATCAGCTCAAGGACAGACAAGAGTCCCAAGCTTGGGTACTGTACAATCCAGCCACCGTATAAATACATCCAATCTCAGGGGCACTGATTTGTTCTGAGGATGTCTTTGTAGAGCAGGCGCTTTGGTAGTAGTTGCCTCACTTCTGAGAATGTTTGCATCTTGAATGGTTGGGAATTAGACAAGCCGTTGCTGACCTCGTTTTCTTTCGTTCTTAGGAGGAACAACATCATCTTCGGTAGGAAAGAGAGTTGGCTTCCTTGTGTGAATACCCAGCAGATTGTTGTATGGGAGGAACTAAGAACCAGAAGTCCGCCATCTGCATTTTGTACCAGCACACACAATCCCTTCTAAGAGTCCATGTTGATCTTGGAAGTGGAAGGATTTAAGAGAGTGACGTTTCCACAGAGAGCAAGAACCTTACCATCTCCTGTAGCTCTGAAGGCTGGCAGACAATGGATATCATAGAGACAGCAAAACATGAAGGTCATTTGGAAAACCAAACCAGTAACTCTCCCGACACTTACACCAGTCCTGCTGAAGCTGTCGAAGAAGAAAACAAAAACGGCAATGGTAAACCCAAGAGCTTGTCCAACGGGCTACGGAAGGGCGCCAAAAAGTACCCGGACTACATCCAGATTTCTATGCCCACTGACTCCAGGAACAAGTTTCCCCTGGAGTGGTGGAAAACGGGCATTGCCTTTGTGTACGCTCTCTTCAACCTTGTCCTGACGACTGTCATGATCACAGTCGTGCACGAGAGGGTCCCTCCCAAGGAGCTCAGCCCTCCACTCCCAGACAAGTTTTTTGATTATGTCGACCGGGTCAAATGGGCATTTTCTGTATCAGAAATAAATGGGATTGTATTAGTTGGGTTATGGATCACCCAGTGGCTTTTTCTGAGATACAAGTAAGTATTGACTAATATATTTGGGTTGGGGTTCAGTTTGCTTTGAAAAGAGATGATGTGTCATTGATATTATCTTTCTCAGATTCTTCTAATGCGTTTGGTTTTACCTAGGCGTTTGAGGAAAGAAATTGTAGGTAGGCATCTTTGAATAAATTCAGCCGCTCTTCTGTAAGTGTTCACTGAGCGGCCACGTGTGAAAGCAGGAAGCTGCAGTAGTTTTGTGTGTGGAGAGTGACTCAGTTTACCAATTTACAAGCACAGTGTCTTGTTTCCAGTGATGTGGTGTCCTACTCCTAAATCAAGATGCTTGGACACGCCTTTGATCCCAGCACTTGGGAGGCAAAGGCAAAAGGATAGCTATGAGTTTGAGGTCAACCTGGTCTACATAGAGAGCTCAGGACAGTCAGGACTACATAGGAAGACCCTGTCTCAAAAAAAAAAAGATGGTAGGGAAGGATGTTTTCAGGCTCTGCAGGTGCAGTAGGAGGTGGGCCAGGACACTAATTTATTATGGGATGATTGGTCTGCCGTCAACAGTTTGCTTTGAGTTTACATCTGTTCAAAAGTTCTTAAGCTTTCTCTTTCCTTTCTTGTCCTTTTCCTGTCAGGCACAAAGTACCGGTGTTTGTTTAAGAAGCTGAATTTGGAACTGGGTTTCGGTGGTTAGGGTTTTAGATCTCTAAAGTAAACTTGTCTTCCCTGCCTTCCCCTTGGCACTGAAAATGAGAACACGGCTCCATAGTTCAGCCCTGCATTCCTCCCCCATCTCAGAGCTGTACCAGCCGGGGAGTCGTAAGCTATCACCTTGATGATATGGTACAAAACTGGACACAGCTCTGACATGGCTATTTCTGCTTCTCTCTGTGAATTCTGTGGACTTCTGGTCCACAAAATTAGAGGCCACTCAATTCCCCGACCTCTCATTTGTCTTTGGGTGTTGGCTTTCTATTGGATCCCAGGAATTAAGGCCCTAAAATATGAGTCTGAGTAAAATACCCACAATTTAGGGCTTTGTAACAAAAAGTGAGGCATGGGAACTCCCACAACACAGCTTCAAAATTCAAAGTCAAATAAGAGCTCAGTGTCAGTGCCATAAGATGGCTTTTAGGAGAGAGTCAGCGGGTGGTGGCAGCACACACCTTTAATCCCAGCACTTGGAAGGCAGAGGCAGGGGGATCTCTGTGAGTTCGAGGCCAGCCTGGTCTACAAGAGCAAGTTCCAGGACAGGCTCCAAAGCTACAGTAAAACCCTGTCTCGAAAACCAAAAACAAACAAACAAACAAAGACAAAAACTCCATTTAGAAGGGAGAATAAAGTTGACTGTTGTTTTGTAATTAGAATTCAGCCTGCTTTTTCAAAGACTTTCCCTAATGCAACCCTGCAGTTTTCAAAACTTACATGACAAACCAAAGCCATCCATGCCTAAAGTTTCTTTATTATAACTCTCAAAATACTTCATCAGTATATTTAGTTAAAAGAGCAATCAATTGCTTTTTACTTAGTAGAAGTGAATTGCTACTGCACATGTCAGTTATGGCTTTTTTATGCTAAAAGCAAGGCTGTATTTATTGACCAGTAGTTTCTTTTCAGTGCCTGGACTCGACACTAAGCATAGTAGGGCTTGCATAAGCTTTGGATGGTCACTTTCTCCTTCAGTTTGGGCATAAGGCTCTTCATATTCACATTTGCATGAAGAGCTATTTAGTCTAGTATGTAGCTGGATTCTGTCCTACAGAGGAGCCTTCGTCTTGGTTTATGTGAGATCTAGCTGTTAAAACTGTCTTCCTGTTGCTGTCTCAGAGTCTACCACGTCAAGACGCATGGTATTGGCTGGGGCTGTAGTTCAGTACATCCTTGGACTCATATGCATGAAGACCTGGGTTAAATCCCCAGGCCACAAAGGAAAATATAACAAGGGAACACCGGAAAAGCTATGCCTTATCCTGCTCTCATCTTTCCACACGGATACTGAAATTTTACAGTGTCTGCTATGAAACATGTTCAATTACTACACGCTAATTGAAATGAAAATATCTATTAAAAAAACACTCAGGATCACACACCTAGGCCATGTACTTTATACCTACTGCTAAGATCACAAACAGCACTAATCTGCCATTTTAGTTTTGAAGTAGATTTGGACCTTGGATTTTGGTGACTGGTAGAATTGTCATAACCTTCTTCTTAAAGCCCTAGCCGAGTAAGAAATCCTGCCAATCTCAGCCTCTCTCAATATGTGCTTTTTAATATTTTTTTCCTTTCTTTTTTTCTTGGTTCTGGTATCCAGGACCTCACACATGCCAGGCAAACCCTCTACCACGGAGACACCTTTCATGTCTCTGTTTCTTTCAAAAACTCTGAGGAAAAACACACCGTGAGCAGTTCTTTTTTTCTAAGGAAGACTGTGGAGTGAGTGTTTCACCTAAGTTAATCTTCTGTTCTGGGCACAGAATGCTGGAATGAATCTAATTGACTCCTAATAATATTTCCTTATTTCTTGTTGTTGTCTAATAGCATGAAACACAATTCAGAGCAGCGCTCCTGTGGGGCCTGGGCTTGAATCACAGAGTGAATTGCTTTCACTTAACCAAGGAAAAACAGCCAGCACTGTTGACTGTTCCATTTCAGTACTAAGACAACAAAGCTAGGTTACCAAGTACACAGTAAGTCAGCCCTTCCAGCTAGCTACCTTGGGGCTACTGCTTTCATCTTCCCTCACCTGAAACCCAGGAATGTTCTTGAAATAGCCATCAGTGGCAAACAACCAAAATAGACATTTATACTTTTTTTAAATTAGAAGTCCCAGCAGTTACCTAAATTTGACCTTGGTCCATGTGAGAACCAGTGTGTTGGAGAAAACTTAAAATACTCCTCATCACTGAGGGTGCCGGCACCTCTAAGAGTCTTTTGGGCAGTGGTAGTTTGGAAAGTTTGAGAGCTGGGAGGGTGAAAGGCCCAGTGGAGTGAGTGCACGGTGTGTTCTAGAGAGGTTAAAGCCCACCGCTGGAGGTGGGTGACACATCCCCACTCATTCCCATCCATGTTCAGAGCCAGCACTTGCAGATGTAACAGAAAGGGGGCTCTGGAACTGAGAGCCCACAGACCTCTATACCCATGCTGCCCCCAGGCAGTCATGCCATTGGCAAAGCCCTGGGCTTTAGAGGTTGGTGAGCTCAGTCAGCTTCTTGAACAGGCTTAGGCTGAAGATTGCAAAGAGCTCAGAGCTGCAGTCAAGACACCATCTTAAAGCTGCACAGGGAAAAGGACTTGTGCCCTTTATTTCTTGACCAATCTCTTTCTCTTTTTCTTTTAATTTTATTAAATTTTGTTTTAATTTTCGAGATAGAGACTGGCCTTAAATTCATTATGTAGCTAATGTTGACCTTAAAGTTATTGATTCTGCTGCTGCTGTCTCCCAAATGCAAGGTATTGGTTTATGCAGTAGTAGAAATCAAACCAAGGACGTCTTGATGCGGCAAGGTAGTCTACCACCTAAGCCACATCCCTAGACCTTTTCATTTTTAACTGGTACATGAAAGCTTACAAAATTGGATTTCATAATGAGGCATTATGTATAAATTCATGTGTGTACTAGGTGACATTCAAGTTAAGCATGCCTCTCTTTAAGCACTTCTTTTAAAAACATTTTAAAATTTGTTTTATTTTATGTATATGGGCGTTTTGCATGCATGTGTTCTATGTGCCACATGCAAACCTGGGGCCCACAAAGGCCATCAGATTCTCTGGAACTGGAATTACAGTTGGGTATGAGCTGCCAGGTAGGTGCTGGGAATCAAACCTGTTTTCCAGGTGAAAGCAACCAGGACCCTTAGCTGCTGAGCCATCTCTCCAGCCTACTTATTATTCCTTTATGGCAAAATACTTCATCTTTCCAACTTATTTTTGAAATGGAGACTACATTGTTAACAGTAGCCATCTTGCTGTATGGAAAAATCTCAGCACATCCTATTCCTAATTGTAACTTAGTACACATTGATCAATCTTCCCATATAACTCCTCCTAAACTTACAGAGTCACCCCCATCACTGGTAAACTCTAGTCTGTGCTCAACTTCTCTAGACAATTTTTTTTTTCAGTTTGGCCAAGGGGTGAAATTATTCTGCGCTCATTTTTCTGTGCCTGGCTTGCTAAGTATGATGATCTCTAGTTCCACCCAAGTTGTCATGAATGACAGGACTGGACTCGACTTTCACGTCTGAGTAGAATGGTATTGTGCATACATGTGGCCTCACCTTTATCTGTTCATCAGCTGGTGGGCACTTCTAGGCACTTTTTATTTTGTGGTTGTCATAAATAATGCTTTCATAATGCTCCAATAAACGATAGTGCAACCTTGTTCAAAAAAAGGCAAACAGTTCTAACCTTTGTACTCCTTTTTATTTTATTTTGCCATTTAAAAATCAATCGTGAATAAGATAATAGCGAATCCATCCAGTAGTTCCTTTGGACGCGGTCAAAATATCGTTCTCTGCAAACGTTTGCAGTCAAAGCAAGCCACTTAGGCCTAAACTGTCAGACTATCTCTGGATGGTCCCAATTAAAATCTTGCTTACATAACTAGGGTTTAATGAGTTGTCACAGTTCCCTGTGTATCCAATTATGTAATGTCACCTGATCCATTAGATTATTCCTCTATGGCCACCGCTCACTTACACCTCCGATGTGTTCTCTAGAGGGTTTCGTTAAGCGGCGCGTTGACTGAAAACAGAGAGGCTGATTGAATTCCCTGGCAAAGGAAGACACTTTTTAGGAGCGGAGACTATATAGACTCTTTGCGCTCTTAAGTTTCCTCTGGCCCCACATTCTTTGTCCTTTCAGGCCCCGGATCACTTAGTTATACTTCATTGTATAAATATTTCTTTATGGAGATGTGATCAGTCTCACTATGGACTATGGGATTGCTCACAGGCCTTAAAATTCTGTGAAGCTGAGATTTATTTGTTAATTCCATTGTTTCTATTATTTTTAGTCAATTAAACATCGATTTACATTGCATTAGAAATACAGGGAGCCAGGCATGGTAGCTTGCGCCTGTAATTCTGGTCACTCGGGAGGCTGAGGCCAGAGAATCATGCGTTTCAGGCAAGACTTGGGTGTATAGTGTGGTCCAGAGAGACAGCTGGTAAACCTGTTTCTCCCCATCCCTGTGTTCCCTTTAGGTCTATAGTGGGGCGCAGATTCTTCTTTATCATCGGAACGCTATACCTATATCGCTGCATAACTATGTACGTCACTACGTTACCTGTGCCAGGAATGCACTTCCAGTGTGCCCCAAAGGTAAGTCTCTGGGTCCCACAGAGGTGACTCAGTAGAGCAATCCCAAAGCACTCACTTCTTTACACATTCCTCCATACACTTCCATAGGTGTTAGCTGCAATCTAGCATAGTCTCTAGTTTGCTTTAAATCGGGGGGAAACGTGTTCATTAAGAACTTTGCATTTTCACATATAAAGAATGGGTTTTCTGCTGACTAAAAATCCACCCGTGTTTGGCTCTTTGGTTTCTTCACTTACTTATTCTATATGGGATGGTACTTATGGTCCCAGGCATTGTAATGACCAAAGCGCATTTGGTCATCCCTTTAGCGTCTTTCAAGGAACAATAAGTAATCAATACATTCTTAACAATAAGTAATCAATACAATCAATGTCATGTGATGCTAAGTCAGGCGATTGTCACAGGAAAACAGCAGGAACTTTTCTACGGACGGGTCAAGAAAAGATGTTAAAAAAAATACTTGGCAGGAAGCAAGGGAGAGAGCTAACCACATGGGCCAGTTGAGAGCTGCAGACTGGGAGAACAGTTTATCTGCATTGGGTTCAAGGAACAGCAGGCAGTAGGGGGAGGGGGGCTAGCAGTACTCGCCATAGGCTGCAAAGGTTCTCGCTGCTCTTGTGAGCCTTGGTGGCTCACACGATTGCGGAACTGATGCCATTTTATCCAGGACACATCTTACCAGTAAGACTGACAGAACATACTGGCGTGGATAGGGTTTGAGAGAGAGAAGCCAAGAGCCACTCCAGATGATTACACATTGGAAAGACAGAGTAGGCCGTGCTGTCGCTGAAGCCGTCTGAAGGGAAGTCACAGTTTCTTCACATGGCATCCAGGCCCAGGAGGGTCAGTCTTCATCTTAGAACCCCGTGCACTCTGGTTTATGAAATGGAAACTTACCGATCATGTGCTTTCTGGCCGAGGGAAAGAGGGCTGACATTGGACTTCACTGAACACTAAGCAGATGTCAGGAGGGAAACAGGGCAGAGCTGTGCTGGAGGAGCCGGCCGTCTCCCTTACCAAATATAGGTGTGGTTTGGAAAGGCGGTCATTTCCTAAAGCCATCAAAGCAAAACGTGTCTGTAATTAAAACAGCGTACACGTTGAATTTAAACATTGACTGGCTTTGACTGAAACTAATTTAAGACAGGAGAGTTTAGAAACATAATGAGTCTGCCTGAGACTTCACTACTGAACAGTATTACAGTGTGCTCCATGGTGAAGTGGCCACTGCAGAGGAAGGCAAGCCCTTCCTAGGAATGGATGAGGTTAGCCGGGAAGGGTCACTGATAAGAGAAAGGCAGACTAAAGGTTACCCTTTATGGAAGAACTGCAGTTTTCCAAAGCCACCCCACTAAAGACACCGGAAGAACCAAGCTGCAACCCCGCCTGTTGGAGGTTCCCCGGCTAATCTCCCACCACTTTCAGTGAGCAGGCTCTCCTCCTCAGAAGCAGGCGGTAGTTGTCTGCCCCTCGGTTCAGTAAACAGACACAAGCTTTTCCCTGTCCGGCTGGAGGAGATGTGGTGATAGAGGGCAGGGATCAAAGTTGCTTTCTAAATTTGGTCCGAGTGCTGCTTCCAAGCTTGCAATGCTTGTGGCCACAAGGCTCTTCGATAGCTACGGGTTTCCTGCGTTGGCGAGGCTGGCGAGTGTCCTTCAGAGGGAGCAATGACAGATGTGCACATGCCAAAACCTCTCTCTGAGACGGCGTCCCTTGTGGAACCAACGGCTCGCACGACTTATCACTCAGAGTTCTCTCACGGTGGCATCCCAGGCTCCTGCAGTTTGGCCACCAGCATCAGCCTCATCTCTCCTATAACACTTCTCTGAGTCCTTTGCTTGCCGTTTGCTTCGTACACCCAGCCATGCTCAGGCTCACAGCCAGAATCTCTATTTTCCGCACTGTCTGTCCAGGTCAAAGTTGGCTCAGTTGTGAAATGATTGCATTTTTCTAAGTCATTCTGTACAGAGACAGTGACATGTTCCTTTCCCGTGGAAGCCTTTTAGGGCGAGATTTCCCTCACCATGGCTATATCTGGCCAAAGGACTTTTCCTTTTCTTTTCTTCTGTTTTGAAAAATCTTTTTCTCTTTTATTATTTGAAAATTTTATACATGCATATTATGTATATTTTTTTCTTTTCTTGAAAATATATTTTTTTTCACATAACTCCTCCTTCTCCCCTTCCCAGTCCCTCTTCACCTCTCCTCCCATCCAGATCCATGTTCTCTCCATCTCTCGATAGAAAACAAACAGGCTTCCAAGGAAATATAATGTGATAGCTATGGTATGATAAAACAAAAATAAACACATCAGAATAGGACAAAACAAACAACAGGACAAGAGACCAAGAAAAAGCATAAGAAACCTTTATAGATGCAGAGACCCACTTGCTTGAACACTTAGAAATCCCGTAAAAAAGCACAAAACAGGAAACTATGCTATATGCACAAAGGACATGTAGGGTGTGTGTGTGTGTGTGTGTGTGTGAGAGAGAGAGAGAGAGAGAGAGAGAGAGAGAGAGAGAGAGAGAGAGAGATAGAGGAGAATAAAAATTAAAAAAAGATTTAAAAAGAAAAGAAAGAGGCAGTGGTGGTGCACACCTTTAATCTCAGTACTCCAGAGGCAGAAGCAGAGGCAGGTGGATCTCTGTGAGTTCAAGACTAGCCTGGTCTACAGAGCAAGTTCTAGGGCAACCAGCACTACAAAGAGAAACCCTTTCTTGAAAAAGAAAAGAGAAGGGAAAAGAAAAGGAAAAAGAAAAGAATAAAAAGGCCCTGACACAATATTATGAGACAAGGAACCTCCAATGATGCCGTTGAGTTCATCTACTGCTGGGCATGCAGCCTTCCTAAGAGCAGCTCGCTTCCCCAGTGAAACTCCCGTCTGGAAAGCAAAACTTTCATGCGCCAATGATTATCAGTAGGAGATAGCTGCTGGGCTAGGGATGGGGCCGTGTGTCCAGTCTCTTCAGCTCAGGACTGATCTGGTGCTGACCACGCAGGCCCAGTACACACTGCCTCCGGTCTGTGTGAGTTCGTACCCGTGTCAGTCCTCCTGCGTGTGGAAGGTCTTGCTTCCTTGGTGTCCTTCAGCCCTTCTGGTGCTTACAGCCTTTCTGTCTCCACTTTGAAATGGTTCCCTGAGCTCTGAGGGGAGATAAGATGGAGGCATCTACTTATGGCTGTGTGCTCTAAGGTCTCTCACTGTGCAAAGTGTCTGGCTGTGGTCACAGGGCTTTTCCTCATGAGAGGGACAGTTGTGACAGTCGGGTTTCTTGTTTGTCAGCAGCCGCCGGGACTGCTGTGTGCTCCTTTCTTTCTCTGGGAAGTAGTTTATGGGAGTCACAGTTGGGGAAATCCTTAAGGATGGCGGGGCTCCTATGTGTTTCAGTGTGTTTTGATTGATGCTTCTTTCTTAGGTTTCTGTGGCTTCAGTTTTCGATCTGGTAGCGCACTGCACAGACTGATGTCTGAAAACAAGGAAATGAGTAGAAACGAGTGTTGGTGTGAGGTGTGTGGGCCTCGGGGAACTGAGCTAGGCCAAGAGGAGGCCATCCAGATGGTCCAGTCCTCGGACTTCACGGTCATCCTTCCCTTGCTCAGACTTGTCCTGCTCGCTAACCCTCCTTTCTTCTCTTGAAGTTCTGTTGAGCCTTTTTTAAACGTAATCCTCCACCAGTGATCGGGTTTAAGGGTTAAGAAGTTAAAAGAGCAGATCAGTGAGCTAGCTTAGCCGGTAAAGAAAGGCATTTGCTGCCAAGCCCAGTGAACTGAATTTGATCCCCAGAACCTACATGGTAAAAGGACTCCCATGGGTTGTCCTCCAAACTCCACGTGCCTGCTGTGGAGTACACGTCTCTGCCCCCCCCACACAAATAAATGTACACATACAAATAAATGTACAAGGAAAGCAAGAGAGGCCTTTCCTCTGTACCGTAACAGTATCCAACCAAAGGCCAGTAGAAATCCTCTTGCAGTGTGTCTCTTTTTTACAGGAGGCACATCCTAAGATGCCCAGATAGTGCCGAACACTATATATACAGTTCCCCCATATATATATATATACATATATATATAAATACATGTATGTTTAAATGTATTAACTAGGTACAGTAAAATATTTAAAATAAATAATGATAAAATGGGAGAAATGCTAATGCATTGTCAAAAACGTTAGTTAAAACTTAAAAACTATTTTTTTGCGGGGAGAGGGGCTTTCCACTTAATATTTCCAGGCTGTGGCTGACTGTGAGCTCTCTGAAAGCAAACTGTAGGTGGGTAGGGGCTATCAGATGCCGGCACTGCTGGACAGAAAGGGGGCAGATGTGCGGTCCAGGAGCTTGTTTACACCTCAGAGCCTCTGGCCCCAAGTAGAGAGAGGTTGACGATTCTAAGTGCTCCTGCCTTCAGAAAATTAGAGTGGAGGAGAAATGAGGGCAATAGGTTCTTCCGGTCCGGGGATGCGGCGCTTGGGCGTCCGTCCTATTTGATCTCATTGTGGTAGCTTTTGGTATCTCTTGACAGGGAAAGAATGATGACTGCTGACGGCTCCCGTGGCTGTATTGTAGCTTCCATGCCAGGGGCGTGATGCCTTAGCAGGTATATTTCATTTGCCTGCCTTTAGGGGAGTTCCTGAAGCCAGTCACGTGACCTGTCGACAGGCTTCATGCCTTCCTCAAGCGCATGCGCTCCTGTCCTCCCCACAATCCTTTGGTCCTTTAAGAAGGCGACGTGCAAGCCCGTGACAAAGCAACTGTTCACAATGTGAGCTAGGAAAAAGAGAAGATGGGGAAAGAAAGGGATGGGCTGCCCACCCCTGTGAGGTTCACTGCAGATAGCAGAGAACCCCCAGAAGGTCCAGTAGCTTAACATGTGCCTCCTCCCTCCCACTAAGTCCTCACAACCCGAACCAGGTCAGCCTCCAACTCAGAGATCTGCCTGCATCTGTCTCCAGGAATATGAATATTGGAATCAAAGGCATGTGCCAGCCTGCCTGGCGGGTGATAGCTGACTCCCGATAGCATCACCCTGCTACCCTGGAACCAACCCTTAAACATGGGAGAGGAGACTTTTGGCCAGATCTTATTAAGGACCGTCTGCTGCTGGAACCTCACTTTAGTTCTGCCATCTGGGCAGTCTTAGAAGTAAACTTTAAGGCAACAAGTCTCAGAAGCCTCAGCCCCTCGTGACCCTAATTCTGTTCTGAGTCATTTCTGTGTAGTGGTTTATTACGAATTGAGCAGCTGTGTGTGTATGTTTCCTCTTTACAGGGGTTTCTTAGTCACCAGGTGGCGCTCTGCAATACTACTGTGCTTTAAATCAGGGCATTTTCTGGTCCCCTAGAGGGAGATGTCTTAGGCAAAGAGCACAGATTTGGTTCTTCGTTGTGCTGGGCGGGGCTGTGTTCTACCTGCTTTGAGGCTCTCCCCATCCATCTGGACACACCCTCCTTCACAATCATGTGCCCACTTGGGCAAGACCCGACAGCGTTTGCTCTGCCTGCCAGCCTAACTGCTGGTATGGCGGGACTGCCACGCTCTGGAGACCAGCATGCAGAGGCAGAAGTGCTGAGTACAAAGAAGGCAGACATGCCACCATCCTGTCCCCAAGAACCCAAATGGCTACTCAGCACCAGTCCTGTGTTTCTCCTTCTTGTATACTATCACTCGCTCTCTTCCCAAGTGCCATTCTTGGATAGCCAACACTGACTTTCACTGTGTTAGGCTTCCCTGTGATTGCCCTCCCAGGTGCCCGGGAGGTCTCTTCTAAGTTTCCTGTCTCATATTCTGACTTTTTCTTGTATGCTTACATTTTATAGAATATATACATTTTTTTAAAACTCCTGCCAGACATTCCTGCCCTACCTGTCACTGTTTCTTATGACATCACTGTGGTTTAGAGAAACTCTTGTACCCTTGACCCTAGTGTAGAACTAGATTCCTTGTGATAGGCTTTCTTGGTCGAGGCTTTGAAAGCTTGCTGGTATAGTCCCTAATGTCATTTCCAGACCTTACATAATGGGATGAGTTTCCTGTAACCATGTTTCTGGCATATACCAACGAGGTTGTACATATAGTTGATGCCGCCGACTTAACACGGTACCAACAGATGCGGCGTATAGCTTAGTCAGATGGTAATGACCCCAAAGCCTCACTTCCTCCTGCCAAAAGGAAACAAAGTCGCTCCGATCTGCTTTTTAGCACATAGTGGTGAAGTCATTGGTTATTAATATTTTTAAAAGCTTTGCCCAAGGACACCACACCACTAAAACATATTATTAGTAACACACTGAATAATTTAAGACATTTCAGTAAGCCCTCCCAACATATGAGGAGAACCTAGTGTGAGGTGGTTCCTCTTGGAATATTTTTGACTTTTTATGCTAGAAGGAAGAACTTCGAAAGACGTTAAAAATCACAGCCTGATTACTTTTCTAGCAAGCATGATCTCGAGCCTCTTGTGAATAAATGTTTCTCTGTGTTTTCTGTTCCTCAGCTCAACGGAGACTCCCAGGCAAAAATACAGCGGATTCTCCGGTTAATTTCTGGTGGGGGTTTGTCCATAACGGGATCGCACATCCTGTGTGGAGACTTCCTCTTCAGCGGTCATACCGTTGTGCTGACACTTACCTACTTGTTCATCAAAGAATGTAAGTCATAGTTCCTTCCTCACTGAACCACCGAGGGCTAGTGGGCGGGGTCCCAGGGCCCTGTCGCAGACGGGATCCCTTCTGCAGGGAGGACAGTTGGGAGAGAGACAGATGTAAATACTCTGTGCACATACGCAGTTCATCCTTCCGCCTGGTCATTTGTGACCTGAAGCCTGAAGGCTAAAGCCCTGGCTGTGGTTTCTTTTAGCATCTAGTGTGCCTCCAAACATACCCCTTCTTCCTTAGTGCTCCCCAAGTCAGGAAGTTCTTAATATCAAGACTAAGAACAGGTTGAGCCTGGTGGTGCACCCCGCCAATCCCAGGATCTTGGAGGCAGAGGCAGGTGGATTTTTATGAACTCGAGGCCAGCCTGGTCTACAGAGTGAGTTCTAGGCTAGCCAGAGCTCGAAAGTGAGACTTTGTCTCAAAACTTTTTCTCACCAAGGGAGGTGGAATGGAAAATAAGGGAAGGATAAATGTGTTGAGAAAAGACCTGTGCACTCTGAAGACAAAACCAATGACTTGACTTACTCGCCAGACACTTCTGTGATTCCCGATAACTCTTGTGCATTTCCTCAGTTTTATCCACACCTTGTCCTGTTCTATGCCAAAGTTGCCATTCACCATTTCCCTGTGGCCTTCTCTGCAGTTCTAGGGTATTTGGTGGAACATCTGGTCCTTAAGAAAGTCACAGGCAAGAAATTGACATCTTTTTCCATATCAAGTTCCCATTGTCTAAAGCCCTTATAGTTTGTAGTAGTTTGTTGTTTTAATGTTTTTAGTGGTTTACTTTTTCAACTTGATTGGTTCTTGAAAAGCTGACCTGGAACTCACAGCCCCCCTGTGTCCTAGGTGCTTTCCAATTCAGTGGCCCTTTTTTATGATTTTTTTTTTTTTGAGACAGGGTTTCTCTGTGTAGCTTTGGAGTCTGTCCTAGAACTTGCTCTGTAGACTAGGCTGGCCTTGAACTCACAGAGATCTACCTGCCTCTTCTTTTCTTGTGCTAGGATTAAAGGTGTACACTGCCACTGTCCAGCCTTTCCAGTGGCTTTTTTTTTTTGATGAGACAGTACCTTGTTCACTGAAGGGCTGTAACTGGTTCTCGCTGCCTAGTAGGTTGCCTTGGTGTTGCCTTCTGAGTGTTGCCCATTCTCTCCATCCTTTTGAGTGGCAATGTTTCTTTTTTTCCATGTTTAAATCATTGTTGTGTGTTCCAGAAGGCCCATTGCCCTGTGTTTCCAGAAGCTTCTCTGACTTCTATTTGCTTGGCATGGACAAAAGAGCTTTGGAAATTGTCTTAGTTACTTTTCTGTTGCCATAGGGAGACACCCTGTCCCAAGTCATTTTTAAAAGAAAGAGTTTAATTTGGGACTTGCTTACAGTTTCAGAGAGTGGAGAATTCATGAGCATCATGGTTGGGAGCATGGCAACAGACAGGCAAGGCGCTGGAGCAGTGGCTGAGAGCTTACATGTTGAGACAACAACCATGAAGCAGAGAGAGAGAGAGAGAGAGAGAGAGAGAGAGAGAGAGAGGGAGGGAGGGAGAGCATGCACTATAAGTAGAAATAGTATGGGCTTTTGAGACCTCAGAGTCTACCCGCAGTAACACACCTCCTCCCACAAGGCCACAACCCCTAATCCTTCCCAGGCAGTCCCATCAACTTTGGATCAAACATCTGAACACATGAGCCTGTGAGGGCCATTTTGATTCAGGTTATCACAGGCGCAGACCTGTACCCAGCGGGCTCCCCATCTCTTGCTTTCCTCTCCTTTTGGTCCTCCATTACTCCAAACAGGTTGAGCTACATGTGGGGTTCTTATCACCTTTGCATTAAAAGCCCATGGGTTTCTGCACCTCTCCCTTATGTCCATGCATGCTGCATGTTGCGGAATGGCGTCCTTCATCTCTCCACAGGCCCCAGGGAATCCTCATTTAATGGAATTGCCCCATTTCTAATACATAATTAATATTTATGGCAGTGTTCTTTATGGTTCTAGTTCTGACTTTTGCCCAAGGAAGTTCCATCTGTGGGGGTCCATCATTTTCTGGTCCAGAGGTACACGCTTCGATCTGTGGATCATAGGACGCTTACAGAAGATGGGCGGGTAGGCGTTGCCTGTCACAGTAAAGACACTCTGTGTTGAAAAACACAAAATAGTGAAAAGAAAACATCCTGGAAACTTAGTGTCAATTCATTCAGTATCTAAAGAGCAAGTGGTGTGACTCCTAGCTCACAGATAATTGTTCTGTGCCCAGCAGTCATCTGAGCGCTTGGCACAACTTAACTCTCTGGTCTTCACTATCCCTCTGGGAGGTGGGAGGTACTATTTTCCCCCTGCTTTTCTCTGCTTGCATGTACAGGAAGTGACCTGGCCATCATATACAACTCCGGTATTTGAGGATTGGGTGTTCGAACTCAATCTAACTCTGAAGATTGCAGTTTTAATTTCTTGGTTCTGTTTAGAAATTTTAGAGATGTGTAAGCTGAGATGATGGCTCCGGCAGTAAATTATTTGCTGTTACAAAGCATGGGGAGCTGAGGTTGAATCTCTGACGCTGCTGCTAAAAACTGGATGTAGCAACACATACCTGTAATCCCAGCACTGGGAACGTAGAGACAGTGTACAATGGAGAGGTGTGGGGAAGGAGGGTTTCTGGGGCTTGCTGGCAGCTAGTCTTACTGGAGCTGTGACCTTCAGCTTCAGTGAGAGATCCTGTCTCAAGTTCAAATAAGACAAAGAGCAACTTAGGAGGACACTTGACATTGGCCTCTCTAGCCAGTCTACACACACACACACACACACACACACATACACACACACACATAAACATGTACACACACACATGAGCATATACACACATGCCATACACACACAAACTAGGAAGAAAGTCAATTCAAGTTGTCTGATCTCATAGGATTGTCTAAGAATAGTCTGCTTATTGATAAACAGGACATAGCTTTCTTCTTTCCCTTCAGAGCAAGTAGAAAGGCAAAGTATGGTTAATTCTATATACGATATTAGAGGCATATTTCCAAATGGCAGGATTTTTTAAAGTTATATACATTTACATATGGCATGGGAAGAATTATAGTTTTTCCAACAACTTTTGATAGAAAATAAAATATTAGCTCTGTCCTACCTAATATACATTTCGCTGCATTGCTGGCCCTCTGTGGACATAGGACATTCTGTGTTTGCCACCTGTAGTCACCATCAGAGTCCTCCGTGTCTCGTTTCCCTGAGGGAACTGTGTTAGTGGTTTGGAAAGTCGGCTTCTAGAGGATGTACTGTCTATATGTGATTACTCTCCTGCTTTTTGAGCATCCTGGGTTCTTTCCTTGCTAGCACTCTTGTTGAGAGTGGATTGAAATTCAGTTGGGAGAGCATACGAGAGTGGGACCATTTCGTTGGTTAACACAAAAGGGTTTAATTGCACCAATATGCTCGCTGGAGTTTAAAACCTGCACTTGCAGAAGACAGCGTGGCTGATAATGCTAGATGTCTGGTCTCACCATCAATGGGTTTTCTTAGTGCTTACCACCTCTGCTGGAGACCCCACATAGACAGGGAAGTCCCTCTGTTGTCAGCTCTTCACTAGGTTAATCCCTGTGGCTAGAAGGAGTGAAAAAACAGGTTTCTCAGTTGCCATTTTGATTTCAAATTAGCTTCTGCTAGTTGGGTCTGTGTACGGAATCTTAGCACTACAGAGGCTGAAGCTGGAGAGTTGTTGGTTTAAGGCTAGCCTGGGTAACATAGTGAGACACTTTCTCATGGCAACAGATAGCAGCAAAAAATTCATCATGGTGGTGAGGAGAGAAGGGAGTGTGTTGTGATCTCAGTGTGAATAGCATCATAGGAAATGCATTTTCCTAGAACACACGGGGTTTCTCAGAATTCCTAAAAAGCCTACTTTCAATGCTGCTGGTCGTGAAACGGTCTTTCCGACCACATCATTGCTCCTTTACCCGTTTCAGCTTCTGGTGGTTAATAATACAGAGTAGTTCTAGTGTCCCCAAACATTTTGAGCTGTTATTAAGTCCCCGGCAACCCATGTATAGAAAAGTGTGTCAGATATGAAACTTCAAGAGGGCTTGGGGGGGGCAGTAGATCTGGAAAGCACATTGATGAGACCTTCGGCATTGTCAGGGTTGCCTCACTTTTTAGGGTTCTAATGCAACAGTCACTGGACACCCCCCACCCCCGGGGGAGGGAGGCCTCTTCTGGCATTTAAATTCTAGGATTCTGTGAGCTATCTTGGAGAATGTAGCAGGAGGATGAAGTAATTAAGTAATGAAGAAGAAACTGAAATGAAAGAATCAAATAACGGGCTGTGTTTCCACTTGGGATCCACAGACCAAGAATCACCTTGTGTATGAATGATAACTGACAACCATTTCAGCCATTGTCTGAAGCTTTGGGGACTGAACTTTCTTTGCTCTTCCACCGTTCTTTGACAGTTGAGCCTGTGTGTTGCTATGAACATAAACAAAGTTTAATATGAAGTTGATTTCAGTCTACTAGATCATTAAACTTTTATTGTGAGCCAGTAAAGCTTTAAATAGACAGAAAAGGAAGGGGACCAGATGGCCAGATAATACAAACAGACGGATTCAGCCATGTCTCTCAGGAACACTTACGTGAGAAGGACTTGGGGTTGTGACCGTGTTAACCGGATAAACACCACGGTTCTCTCCCAGCTGGCCAGTGGCACAAACTTCACAGTAACTTCAGCAGGAGGCTAAATGTTAGTACATGGAGGGGCAAGAAGCCAGAGCTTTCCCCAAGAGGAGAGCTGCACCATTGCTGCTAGCAGTGGTGCTATAAAATTGCTGAGGATCAAATCTTGCCTGCCGCAGTGACATTCCCCCACCACAGATGCACACCTGAAGAAATAAAAATAAACTTCAGATCTCTCATTTCGCCCTCCTTGTTTTCATAGACCGTTTCTTTAGGCCCTTACTATTTCTCTTACCAGTGTGGTCATGTATGTGTGCCAGGACGAGCCAGCTCTAGCCAATCTAAATAACAGTTCTGTTCTCTTCCTTATTTAATAGTTGTGCTGAAGGTGGGCAGAGCTTGGAATATCTCTTATTGCCCCTCAACGTCCTAAGAATGACTTCTGTATATGCTAACATGATTCCCTCTGCCCTCTCTCTACCTGAGCAAACTGAAGCCATTCTTTGTCATAGCGATCTTCATTGTCCTGCTCAAGGTTATAAAAGCAGTATTAAGATGTGACTTGGTGGGAGTGTCTTAAGCACCTTAGCTTGCATAAGTCTCTGGGTTCCACCCCGAGCCAGCCAGTCCATGAGTCCATCTCTGTTTCCCTGCTGTCCAGATTCTCCGCGGCACTTCTGGTGGTATCATCTGGTCTGCTGGCTGCTGAGTGCTGCCGGCATCATCTGCATCCTCGTGGCGCACGAACACTACACCGTCGACGTGATCATTGCTTACTACATCACGACACGGCTGTTTTGGTGGTACCATTCCATGGCCAACGAAAAGGTGAGAGCCGTGAAGACCCTTGGGTGAGCAATGCCCATGACGTGCAGGGGACCCGCTTCCACAGAAGGGAGTTTTAGATGGCTTCGTGGAGAAGACCATTGTTGCTCCCTAGCTATATGGTTTGGTCAGTTCAGCTGAACTTCCTACCACTGCTGCTTATTTTAAAAAGTGACAGCAAAAAAAAAAAACTTCACATGCTATCTGAGGGTTAAGAGCACGGTAAAATTGTTGACAACTTATTTTACCAATTTAGCTGTTTTATGCTAGAATTGGAGGACTGTCCGCTAACTGAAAACCTAGGAACCTTCTCTGTAGAGCTTATGGCACAGCTTGGGGAGAGAGTGTAGCTTGCCTTGTTGATTATATTTCGGGGTGATCAGCACCTCTATCCTCCCTTCTTCTTCCTGTTCCAGGATGACCCCCATTTTTTTCCCATTTGTTCTTCTAGTGCTTGCTTAAATGTCTCCCTCTTACCTCCATCCTGGGAAGCTTCCTGTTTCTCTTGTTCTCTCCCTTTGGGACCAAGGTGGCCCCACCTCTATCACCACCCGCCCCAGTTCCCGCCAGGCTTGGTAATGCTCTTGCTGTAATAGGGCTGCTCTGTGTACCATGATTTATTCACCTTGGAATAGATCACCTCATGGTGGTGGTGGTGGTGCTGTGCTGTGTGTGTATGGTGTGCTGTGGAGTACTGTGTGTGTGTGTGTGTGTGTGTGTGTGTGTGTGTGAGAAACCTACAACTGATTGACTTGTCATTACTGAAAAGTCTACACAGAGCTCTTGATGTCCACAAATAATCGCTTTCTATGGATCCCTTTTTTTTTTTTTTTTTTTTTTTTTTTGTCTTTGCTGCTTGGTCGCTAACTCGGTAGTCCTCTACTTTTATCTGCCTGCTCACACGTCGATGCTTCCGGACACCTAAACCAAACTCTCCATCTTTATTCGTGACCATGTTCAGCCTTCCGAGTTCTCCTTTCACTCCCCCTTGGCCCTTCTATCTGACCACAGCCTATCCTGAAAATACTTCTCTTGCATGCCCTCCACACCTATCCCTGAGCCTCCTTCTACGAGAACTGCAGACAGAGGTCTCGTGGCTCACAGAGGGTAGGACAGGGGGACCAAGGTCAAAGGAGAGCTGGGGGAAAGGCAGGAGGACAGCAGTTACTGCCATGGGATGCCACTGCTGTTCACCTGCTAAGCTACAACGTAAATAAGGCAATAAATAAATGTCATTTCATTGAGAAGTCTAGACTGCAAGTCATAAACAATTCCTCATTTTATTTTTCCCAACCTTCACAGAACTTGAAAGTCTCTTCCCAGACAAATTTCTTGTCTCGGGCTTGGTGGTTCCCCATCTTCTATTTCTTCGAGAAAAACGTCCAAGGCTCAATTCCTTGCTGCTTCTCCTGGCCACTGTCCTGGCCCCCTGGCTGCTTCAAGTCCTCGTGCAAAAAGTATTCACGGGTCCAGAAGATCGGGGAGGATAACGAGAAGTCTACGTGAGCTGCCGCCCCGGCAGCAGCTTTTCCACCAAAACAATCCGTGCTGTAACCAAAGACGCAGCTTCGTATTTATTTTCAGAGACCTGACTGGTAAATAGAGTGGACCAAATTTTGTGCAAAAGATCGGAGCAACGAATGAAGTATTACCTTTTGGCTTTTTTTTTTTTAAAATTCATCCCAAGAAACATATATTTTCCTGCTGCTCTTCACTCGTGGGTGACAAAGCCTCCCAACTGGGATCCTAAAGAGGTGGCATTAACCCGCTGTGCCTCTCGTTCTTTCTCCACTTCCAGATTCTTTCCAGATGTTTTTTTCCCCTTCAAGGTCAGAAGAGTTTGCTAATGTTGTGAAATAAAGTGTCTGGATTACACAGCCACTGTGTGAATGCAGGCAGTGAGGGGAGGAGCAGGTTTCCAAGCAGCTCACTGAGGGCAAGCCACAGGTGGGTCAAGGTGGGTCAAGGTCAAGTGCACTTGTTTCTGTCCAGTCATGGGAAGGTTAGGGTGCCATCTGGGGTTTGCTTTGCTGCCCCCTCCCACCCTCAGTGTGCTATGTATGACTTTTCCTCTTTTGTTTTAACCTTTACCTGGTAATTGTATTTTTAAGAAGGGGTGTTCCAAGGAAACGAGAGTGGCCCACCCACCCATGGATGTTTCCTGTGTGTGAATTTCTGACTTTCAAGTCTCGGTGACAGGTTCCACAGGAAGTGGAGGGCTTTTCCTGCTATACACATTCGAGGCAGCCTGTCTGGAGCCCAGGACTGTTAACCGCACCAGCACGGGCTGCAAACGCACATGTGCAGTGATGCTCACACTCACCAGGGAACACGCTCGTGCTCCCCTTCTAGCGTGGGCCCTGCTGTGATGTGTTTCTAATCGGAACCTAGAGAAATGTTTGCGCACATCCCCCTAAGACAGTTGCCTCTCAGTTAGCATTGCGCTTTCCAGGAAATGCAAGATGGATTCCAAAGGTTTACTGGTTCCTTGCCTTTTAGCAGGAACCCTACTCCCTAAGTGCTCCTAAGGGCATCACCACCACTGAGCAAGTTGGCTTTCACCCTGTGAGCATGCCACATGGTGCTGCCCCTAAACATGCTGTTTGCATCCACACTTGAGATAACTACATGTGCATAGGAACAGAGAGCCAAGCATAGGGCGCACGCCTTTAGTCCCAGCACTCGTAAGGCAGGGCCAGGCAAATCTCTGTGAGTTCAAGTCCAGCTTGGTCTAAAAATCAAGTTCCAGGACAGCCAAGGAGACCCAGAGAAACTCTGTCTCAAAAAAGCCCTACCACCACCATAAAAAAAAAAAAGAAAGAAAGAAAGAGAGAGAGAGAGAAGGAAAAAAAGGAGCAGGGACAACTGTGTCAAACATGAACTGCTTTTACAAAATCTGATTGATTTAAGAATATCTGATTTAATGTGTTACTCAGTGCTAGTATGTATGATCCTTACCTTGATTTCTTAACTACTGGAAGATTAGTTTGTGAACCTTCTCATTAAGCTTAGAAACGCTCTCTGGTTACATGGCTGTCAGGATGGGAGCAGAGAGGGGCAAGCAGAGCAGGGTGGGAGGAGGGGCTGTGTTGGCAGCGATGAAATGGAATAGAGAATATTCTCAGATCAATCCTTGGAAGCAGGTCGGCCTTGATTGTTCAAAGTTAAACTTTAAATTGCTTGGCACAAAAGCACAATACAGATCTGTTCAGAAGGGCCATGTCCTCTGGTGCTAATTTCTGTGTGTGTCCAGAGTGTCTCTATTTTCTGTGGTATGGTAGGTAAAGGGAAGGGCGCTGGATTCAAAAGCGAGAGAGTAAGGTTCTCCATCTGGCTGTCTCCACCAGAGTGCGAGCCCTAAACACCTTCGGCAGAGTTGGGAATGCAAAGGTTTTGTATTTTTATGGAATAAGCCAGTAGTAAATACATACCTAGTTTACCTTGTGTTCAACACAGTTCTATGCAGTTCTCACGTGTTCATTTCCTCAACTCTGATCTTGGGTTAGAACAAAGTGTTCTGCTCGGAAACATGAATTTAACTTCTGTGTCTTATTACAAGAGAAGCAATCAGCGCTGCAGCCCCAGTTTGGGTCTGTGAGGCTTTCATTGAAACCCAACACCTGAGGGCCTTATCCAGCTGTGGCTAGGCTTCCCCGGGATTCTTCAGTTAAGGAAATGCTTAAGCATTATTACACCGCATGTTGATTGTTGGGAACAGAAAACCTTGCATTTCAGTCACGTTATCCAGCCTGTCAAAAAACAATACCATCACTTTCCAAAGGATTCTGAGAATACCCGTGAGTCTGGTGTGGACACTGCTGTTCCCAAGTTCTCTGTGTGTTTGCTGTGGCTCTCTAGTCGATGCTGATGTGGAAGCATGGGTCTTGAAAATAAGAGAGGGAGATGTCCACATTTCAAGATGCAGATGATGACCAAACTCATTTCAGTGTAGGAAAGCAAATTGGAGACTTGGCTCGACATGCCGTTGGGGATATAAAATATAGACAATTATGATGTTGCCTTTGATACAGTGATTTTATTTTTGAGATGCTCTCATCTCACCGTGTAGCCCAGATTGACTTACAATTTTCAATCCTCCTGCCTCAGCCTCCAGAGTGCTGGGATTGCAAGTGTGTGCTCCCACGCCTACCCAACCAAAGCAGTAAGTGATTACAACACCTTTTCTTTGCCAATAAAGATGCAGGTCTTACCCATTACCTGTGTGTTCGTGAGCCCATGCTTCTGGCTTTCCTGTAACACAGCACTTCTGGAAAATGCCTATAATATAAAAAATATGCTACATGTTTTCTTCTGAAGCATCCCAGTGGCAATGGAGTTCTTCCAAACTTCGGTTGTTGAGCTAGATCCACTAGATCCAAAACAAGGAAGCCTCCTTCCCCGTTCCTCCTGAGCTCATTGTGATTGTCCTTTGTAGCCGTGGATTCTTGGCTGTGTTAGCAGTGCCTCCTTGTGGCGATGTGTCATGTCTGGAATGCAAATGCTACTTTAAAAATAGATTTTCAAAGTTTCTCCAAAGTCTGTGTTTTGGCTTTTTATTGTTGATGTTGTTGCTCAATTTTTTTTTTTTGCCAAAAAAAAAATCTGAAATTCTCATGGAAAAGAAGTTATTTTAAATATTCTAAATCCTTCCCAAAGGGAAAGTGCTCAGAATCTGATCAAAGAAAATTTGCAGGTCATGTTCACCTCTTCTATCACAATCATTAACATCTAGTCCATAAGTACCAGACTTTGTTTACTTCCGAACCCAGAGCCCACTGTCTTTTTCCTTCTGAGCTAGGATTCATCATTTCATTTTTAATTTAAAGTTCGTATCTTGCTCCATAAATATTTTAAACTTTTTGTTATTGTTTTGGTTTTGTACTATAGAACTGATTGAAAATTTAAGCTGGTCTTAACACACTCACCCCTTTAGTGTAAGGAAGCGTGAGATGGAATCTTCTAGTAAATGAGTTTACATGTGTTAATCAAGTGTAAGTTATATGCATTGCATTGGAACCTTTTCTATATGTATGTGTAAATATTTCTGGTGTTATTGTTTTTAATGTCATTGTGTTGCAATAATTTAGCCCCTTTGACTGATTTGACAAAATGTATTTTATGAAGAAGAGCTCTTGACTTCGCTATCCCTATACTGAAAATCATGTCAGAGGTACCCAAAGATAAGTTTTTATACAGACAGACGCCTCATAAGCGCTGGTTTCTTACTTGTTAATATCACTGTACTGTGTTCCTAGTGAATCATGAATGATAAGGGCAGGTCACTGTAGAATTACTTTAAACTATCCTTTAAAAGAAAGAGGAGAAGCTATAAGCTAATCTAGTTGCCAAGTTGGAATTCGTTGTTTAATTTACCTCCTATGCAATGATTAATGCTGCGAAGTGTGTGGTTAATAACTTACAGTATATTCAGACAGGAAATACCTTTACAAGGTTTGAGCAGCAGCCAGTTGCATTCTTTCGGAAACCTACTATACTGTTTTGATGTGTTAAGTGCCTTGTTGTAAAGTAAAATTTTAAGTCTAGAATTCATTATTTTCCTGACCTATATTTTTCATTATGATTATCTACTGTGTGCTGTTGTAATCATTTTATTAAATGCTTACATTTTAATCAAATATGAGCTTCAGTCTCTTCTATCCACTACTGTCTTCTACATTTTAAAAAATTACTATTGTGTGAGCGTGTGTGTGTGTGTGTGTGTGTGTGTGAGAGAGAGAGAGAGAGAGAGAGAGAGAGAGAGAGAGAAAGTCAGAGGACAATTCTGGGGAGTCAGTTCTGTCCTTCTTTCTGGGATTAAACCCAAGTCACCAGGCTTCACACTATCGGAATCAGTGATTTATCACATGGGGTTGAAGTTCAAGTTTTGTTTTCTTGTCAGTTTATTTTAAGAGAAATCTTTCAGTTTGGAAATATACTTTCTATGCCTGTGAAAACATTCTGGGAGGGATGTAGGAATATGACTTCAGTTTCTGTTTCTGTTTTAAATGCCTGTGGGTTGTGAAAACTAATGTTTGTTTGTGCTCAGAAGAGAGGATGTGTGTACTTGGTTTCTGACTTACAGATGCCCAAATCTGTATTTGTCTAATAAATCCCAGTGATATCAGAAGCCTCTTGGAACACATAACAGCATTCCTTTCCATTCAGAAGATTCCTTCTCCAATGTGGGTTTCTCTGTAGCTTTGGAGCTCTTATAGACCAGGCTGGCCTCAAACTCACAGAGATCCGCCTGCCTCTGCCTCCCTAGTGCTGGAATTAAAGGTGTGTGCTATCAGACAGCCTTTTTAAAGGAGCCACACAGCTTTTGCTGTTCCTGCTGAGTCAGGAAGCCTTCTCTTAAAAGAATCGTGCCTCAGCTTGCTTCTAGCAAACAGAACCCACCTGAGAAAATGCTGCTACCAAAAAGTCATGCTTAACTCTGTTCTTTTTATGTCTAGAATTCCTTTTTAAGCATTCTTTTATGTGGATATAGTTGACCATATTGATGTATCAATTTCTTGACAGAGGCCAGTTGTTCCTTCCTGGCTGCCCAGACCATGAAATAATCCCTCAGAAACTATTATATTTGCAATACTGTTTGGCTAATAGCTTAAGTATTTCTGACTAACTCTTATATCCTAAATTAACCCATTTCTATTCATCTGTGCATCACCACAAGGCCCGTAGCTTACCAGTAAAATTCCAGGACACGTTTGTCTCCTCCAGCAGCTACAAGGCTTCTCATTGACTCCGCCTTCTTTCTCCCAGCATTCAGTTTTGTTTTCCCACCTAGCTCTGTTCTGCTAAGACATTGGCTGAAACAGCTTTATTCATTAATGAATAAAGTAAAAACATAGACAGAAGACTTCCCACACCAA